AATCCAGATTCCACAAATATTCATAGCATAATAGCAAATCCATCGTACATTTCTCAACGATTACACATAGATTTTCAACATCAATCACTAGAACAATACATCATAGAGGAATAACAAATCTAAAACGGAGATTTCAAGAGAAAAATGGATCCAGATCTAAACAGAGGAACTCCACCTACGGGATCAGGCTCTGCTCATCACCTTCACCACCTCTCTCGAAGTCCCTCAGTTCCAGAAAATTACATAGGAAAGGGGAAATTCCTGCTCTAACCGCAATACTCCTCTTTTCTTTCTTTGCCGTCAACACCAAACCCAGGCAAAAGGAAAAAAAAGAAAACCCCAGAACCAAGAAAAACAAAAGAAACGCCCCTCCCTATTTCAGATTTCTGTCTTCTGCTTCTCTCTTTTTTTTTTTTTTTTCACAATGACAAGAAGAAAATGAAACCCAGAAAAGAACCAGAACCCAGAAGAGAAAAACCAAAAGAAAACTTAAAAAAACAAACCAAATCCGAAAATCAACCCCCAAAAGACCTCTGCCTTTTGCTCTATATATACCCAAACAACAAAATAAAATAAAAATGAAAAAGGCTTGCTCCGTCAATCATTAATGATGCCAATTTTGTCTGGTATTGGCTGTTTTTTTCTGTATGGCTGTAGCGTGCAAGAGGCAAGGGCATGGGATTGGGGCGCAAACTGCAGGAGGCGCAGCAATAGGGGCGCAGGCGGCAAGGGCAGGGCTCAGTGCAGCAGAGGGGGGGTTGGCTTGGTGTGCAGGGGAGGTATGATTGCTGGAAGTGGGCTCAGGCGTGTAGGGGTGTATGATTTCTGGGATCTAGGCGCAGAAGGCACGGTCGGGTGCAAGGCAGGGGATCTAGGCTCGAGGCAGAGGAGGGTGCAGGCTGTGGCATGTTCGGGTGCAGCAGCAGGGGCGCAGGCAGCAGGGCTAGGGGTTTGGGCTCGGTGCGTAGCAAGCAAGGAGGAGCAGAAGCGTGCAGGGCAGGGGGAGCAGAGCAAAGGGGATCTAGGTTGCAAAGAAGGGAAGACCCTTTTTGTTTTCTTTTTTTGTTTTGTTTTTGAATTGGGCTTTTGGGTCTTTTGGGTTTTGAGTTTTGGGTTTTAGGTAATGGTGGGCTTGGGTTTGGGGTAATGGTGGGCTTGGGTTTTTAGGTTTTGAGTTTTTGTGGGTTTTGGGTTTGGGTTTGAGGCTTCAAAATTGGAATGGGATGGTGTTGGATTGAGCTAGGCTCAATATTGGGTATGGGGTGGACTTGTAAATTTGTCTTGATGAACTTCACCCCTCCAACTTTTGATTTCTTCAATTGAGTCCCTTGTTTTAATTTCTTTCATCTCCCTTTTCCAATTTTCTTTGAAAAATCCCCCTTTTTGCCCCAGAACCTAATAAGGAAAACAAAAACAAAACATATTAGTTAAAATAAAAATAAAAATAAAATTCTACTAAAATTTAAATTATGACAGTTAATTAATGATGAGTTTTTTTAATATATACCTTAAAAGTCTTAAAAAAAAACAAATATTGACATTCAATTTATTATTTCTCCAATTAAATTTATCCAAGTAGCAATAATTTTAAAATTAATGTAAATTTTTATATTTTTCTATACATATTTATGGCAAAAAGGCACTCTTAAAGTACAAGTTAGAAAAATCCATTAATGATTTACATTTTCAAGTTAGATTTACATGTCTTATTTTGATTATTATATAAAATTTAAGTAGATAATTTTATGTAGGAAAAAGTGCATATTAGTCTCGATTTTTAAAAATAATTAAAGTTTTAACTTTAAATAACATCATTTTATTTAATTAAAATTCAATTTAAAATTTAAAAAATTATCTTATTGAAAGTTGATATATTAAAATATATAATAAATTTTCAAATTTATATACCAACATTTAATAAAATAAGATTTTAATTTTCAAATGTAGACTAGAACTCCAATTATATTTTTTTGGGAGTTCGGACTAATACCACTAACTTTTTTTATATAATAAATAAATAATAATTTAAATTTTTTTTATATGTAATATTTGTTAAATATTTTTAATTATATAAAAAATATTTAATTATCATTCATTTATTATACAAAATCATCATATTAAACTCTCAATAAATATTATATTGAGTATAGGAATAAAGTTATAAAAAAATTTTTTGTCTAACTTATCTCTTAAAAATATAAATTAAATATATTATTTTATAATTAATTTAAATAAAAAATTTAAGAATTAATTTTTCTTTTAACATCATTTTCTATATAAATATTTTTTAATTGATTAATTGATAATTTTAAGGATACAATTTTTACGCCATTTGGCATTGAAAATAAGAAGAATTAAGGGTTTGGCGGGGTTTTGTCCTATTTAAGTCTTTACAAATTCTCATGAATCCCACAAAATTCTATTTAGATTTCCCTAAGGGACTTATGGTATATTTTTGGTTTAAGGGAAATGGAGAGGAGGGAAGGAAAGGAAAGGAAAGGGTAGGGATAGAATTTTTGACTAATTCTATTATAATATTTAAAAATATTATAATTTAGTAAATTAAAAAACTTATCTCTCTCCTCTCTCTCCCTCACAATCCAAACATATTATTAAGAATTAAGAAAGTGACTAATAATAAGATTAAGTTTGGTGACCTAGAAAAAGTTAGAAACTGTATTTTTTTTGTATAAACGAAAGCTTTCGCAGAGAAATTCATCATAAGGCGTATAAAGATCAAATTCCTTGATCAAGGCATTTCCCAGAGCGATTACCCAGTTTCATGAATCACATCCAAAGATTCAGAAAGCAACTATCACCAATTATATACACGTAAAGCAACAAATTTTATTTCTCCTATTGCATCTAGGAAACTATAGCACCCCCCACCCCCCCTTTTCTCTCTCTCCCAAAAAATGAAAAGTAAGCAGAGATGTTTTGAATTATGTGACCAAGCAATGGCTAGAAGGACAACGTAAGTGACAAAACAAAGGATTACAAACTCTTACATTGATTATCATGGTATCCCAGGTCTCTTGATATGAAGGATCTAGGTTGAGATCTTTAGTGTCACTGACATATGCCTTCATCTTTGGAACCTAGCTAGAGCTTTAGCAAGGATGATAAGCAATTAGATTAAGCAGCATAATCATTTTTTTGTTTACTTCTATCTAACTCGTAAGAATAAAGAGTAGTGTATCAACAAATTACTTAATTAGGAAAGCATTTAGATAAGTTACAAATAGGGATATACTTAGAATCAGAAGCTTACAAAAAAGACAAGAATTTCAACTATCCTATCTTTATCCTTTAAAGTTTTTATGAGGTGAGTGCTAGCTAGGGCCAAATATAGTTGGAGCCATTAGAAGATAATGTTTATAATTGAATATACTCCAATTTTATTAGCCTCAATGTAATTAATTATCGCCTGCATCAATTGAATTCTCAACCAGATTAAGTGATTAAATTATCAGCCATTGTTTTTTTATTTACTAACTGTCAGCTGTTGTATGTGCATATGTAGAATAATATTGACACTTCATTAAGCACCATAAATTTATGTTTCAGATATTACCGAAAATATAAATAAATATATGTTTCAGCTACTGTATGACTATAAATAGATTATTTTATAAAGGATATACATACATATATATATCGACGTTGGATTTGATTTCATTGTGAGGAGGTCGTTTATGTAATTAATAATGACAAGGTATATCACACCACGTAATAATGTTAATTAGCTTGTAAAATAAAAGTTTATTAGAATAAGAATGTATAAGATTGAGAAATGCCTTTACGCTAACTAATTAAAGCTCTTAATGTAAAAAGTTTTCTGAAGTGTTGGTGAGGTTTTGAGCATGTGCAACCTCTTCTCCACATCCTTCCTCCCATAGGTTATATCACTATCTTTGCCCCCAAAAAAGATGTATATAGAATTATGAATATAATTTTTGGAAAATGATTTGTGCACACCCGGGTCAGCACCCGGGTGTGCACACTCCCCATTGAAAAAAATAAAAAGCTCATCACCACTCGGTCCAATTTTTTTTTTTTTTATGTGGAAGTGCACACCTG